GGCCCGGCCCGACCGGCCCGTAGCCCATTTGGCCCGAGGCCCGAAAACCCGAAGTTTAATGAACCTACATTTTTAAGGCTCATGTCCTTATAATTTTCGGGCGGGCTCGGGCCGGCTTTCGGGTTCCGGGTTTAATTGACATCCCTAGCGCCCAGGATCAGCCCGCGCGGTGTAACTACGTGTCAGGTGTGAAATAGAAGACCGGACTACTTGACGTTTGAGAGATGGGGTCCTTGCCCTTCTTGGAAAAAAAACGTCAAGATCTTTCGTACCAAGACATCAAAACGCCGTCCACAAAAAGCTGCGACCAACCAGAGAAAGCCACGAGGCAGGGTGGTGTGGAAGAAAAAGGAGAGAGGGATAAGCCGTTTCGACAGTTAACGGCGCACAAGAGGAAAATGAACGCCGCAGCGCTCGCAACCACCGCCGGAACCCCCGTCCTCCGCCGTGCTCCGAATCTCTCGCGCTTTTATCCTCATACTTCGCCCGTTTTCCGGCTCGACGGAATCGGACGAGCAGTGCAAGCAACCGGCAGAAGGTCGTGGAAGATATCGGCGAGTTCACAGAGCGCATCCACGGCGGAGAATGTGGCGACGGCGAAGTCCGTGCCAAGCGAGATGAAGGCCTGGCTGTACGGAGAGTACGGAGGAGTGGAGGTTCTGAAGCTGGAGAGCAACGTGGCGGTGCCGGAGTTTAAGGAGGATCAGGTGCTCTTGAAGGTTGTTGCGGCGGCGCTTAACCCCGTCGATGCGAAAAGACGCCAAGGCAAGTTCAAGGCTACCGATTCTCCTCTCCCGGTAAATACTCTCTGTCTCTTGATAAGAAATCGAAAAGTATAAGAATCTGTTTGTTTTTTTCGATGATCGGAGAATTGTCGATGTCATCTGTGGCAGACGGTGCCGGGATACGACGTGGCGGGAGTGGTGGTGAAGGTGGGGAAGGCCGTGAAGGAATTGAAAGAAGGGGACGAAGTGTACGGAAACATCAGCGAGAAAGCTCTCGAAGGGCCAAAGCAATTCGGTTCGCTTGCAGAGTACACTGCGGCGGAGGAGAAGCTATTGGCATTGAAGCCCAAAAACATCAGCTTTGCTGAAGCAGCGGGCCTACCACTGGCCATAGAGACAGCCGACGAGGGCTTGCAGAGAACTGGCTTCTCCTCAGGAAAGTCAATTCTCGTCCTCAATGGCGCCGGAGGAGTTGGCAGCCTTGTCATTCAGGTTTCTGTTCTTCGATCGGGGAAACTGAAAATATCAAAGAAAATGTGTACCCATTTGTTGGTTTATTCTGTCTGAAATCTCAAAATGGGCAGTTGGCAAAGCAAGTGTATGGAGCATCAAAGGTGGCAGCCACCGCTAGTACGGGAAAGCTGGAGTTGCTGAGAAGCCTCGGTGCCGATTTGGCAATTGATTACACCAAAGACAACTTTGAAGATTTGCCCGATAAATTCGACGTCGTGTTCGACGCCATCGGTAGTATACCTCTCCCCGTTCTCTCAAAAGACTGCCTTTTGACGAAATGCTAACAATAGGTGAGAGTGGCAGGGATGTGTGAACGTGCGGTGAAGGTGGTGAAGGAAGGTGGGAGCGTGGTGGCATTGACCGGAGCCGTGACACCACCAGGTTTCAGATTCGTGGTGACATCGAATGGGGAAGTTTTGAAGAAGCTGAACCCTTACCTTGAGAGCGGAAAGGTGAAGCCGGTGGTCGATCCGAAGGCTCCGTTCCCGTTCTCAAATGCGGCAGATGCCTTCTCTTACCTAGAAACCAACCATGCCACCGGCAAGGTCGTTGTCTATCCCATCCCTTGATGAGTGTCTCTTCACTAGGTCTGTAACTTACATGTAAGCATATCTCTGTTTGAAGTTTCTCATTCCTTGTAGAGAGTTTAAGCTTTCTGGTTGGAAAGCGTACGAGGGTTTAGTTACAATGATGTCCTGGTGATGAACTGAATGTGAAACTCCGAACAATAGTCTGAACATGAAATTGAAAACAGAGTTGCTTACATAATAAATTTTGGGTTCATTTTGAAAGAGAAATAAGCAAATGGGACAATGGAAGGGGGGGGAGAGAGGGATTAAAAGGCAAAGGCAGGGGTGGTCTTGAAGTCGAGCTCCCAGAGCTCAAAAGTGCCATTGACGAAGTCGTAGTGAGCGCCTCTTATGGAGAGAGTGTTCTTTACCACTCCTTCCCTCACGAATGGATACGACAGCAGATTCCCCAGCGACACGTTCACCGCTTCCTTCTCGCAGTTTGTGCACTGTTCGTCGAAGCTCATCTCTGTCAGTTCTTGCTTGATCTTGTTCTTCGCCGGTGCGCATATCTTCACCCAGTTTTCTATGAAGTCACTGCCATTTTCATCCAAACTTATACCACTTTAGTTAAGGAAACTTCATTGGAAGAACGTTACACAATCCACATGAACAGTTGTTCTCTTTCTTTGCTTTATTCCTTGCTTTTTTCAGATACCTCCCTAGAATACTAACAGGAGGAAATGGAGCCCCTCTCTCTCTCTCTCTCTCTCTCTCTCTCTCCTCTCATTGTATCAGTAAAAGCTAATGCCTAAACCTTAATCATAGGAAAGCCATAATCAAAGGATCATTAATTAGCTTGATTACCTTTTTGTGGGGGCTGCATCATCTTCGATAGACATGAGTCCCTTTATTCCACCACAGCAGCTGTGTCCTATCACCACAATATTCTCCACCTACAAACAAAGCCACACCACCACATAACCATACAGTCCCCGGCCCGACAATGATTACCAGAAGACAAATCCGGAATAGAAGAGTCTGTATGGTTTGAGTTTCTCCCAATTCCAACGGCCTTTCTCAGAGTATGGGATAAATTATAATTGTGGGGTGCTCTCTCTAGTGGCAAAAAGGTTATCTTTTTTGGTGGGTGTTATCAAATGGACATCCTTTTGCGTTTAGTGGATGAAAACAAACTTGAAGGTCCATCACTACAGTGAGTAGACAAACATTCAATTCAGTCAACATCTAAGCCCGGCCATGTACGTAACAGTTTTCACCAAAGATCAAAATAATGCATATACATCAAAGGTGGAAAGAAAGGAAAGGATTTCTGATGAGCCAAGAACACATTGTTATATCTTAAGAAAACAATTACCAGTAGGCTATTTTATTATACCTTTAGATGTAGAACCGCGTATTCAATGGCAGCACCCACTCCGGAGTGTCTTTTCTGCAACAAGCAAAGCCATGACCAAAGCGTCCAAAAAAGGATAGCATTTTTTTTATTGCCGACAAAATTTGAATGATATAGGCGAACCTTGTCATAAGGAGGCACCATGTTTGCAATATTTCTGACCACAAAGGCCTCCCCCGGTTGGAAATTCAAGACGTGAGATGGGCAAACTCGGGAATCCGAACATGCAAATACCATAAACTGCACAAACAATCCAAAGCTTATTTCAAGTCTACCCTTTGATTTCTAACTGAATTTTTTGCCCCCCCCCCCCCAAAAAAAAAAAAAGACACCAATGGATTGCATCTTCTTCCTCTGTTTCACATCCCTTTTTCTTTTTTGACAAACCCAGTTTCACACCTTTATTTATACCTTTCTTTTCTCTTATTGAACTTTTTGCCTATGGGATTTGTCAAATGGGGAGAAATTAAATCCAAACAGTAAATGAACAGAAATGCCAAAGGAAAAAAAAATACAAGAGAATCGCAAAATCAAAACCTTGGGGCTCTGACCCTTAGCCAGTTGACCGAACAAATCAGGATTCTTCCTGGAAAAAATAAACAGAAACGGAGATTCCATCATATTCAGGGCCAATCCAATACCGAATGAATCAACTTTTTCAGTGGGCAATCAATATATGATCAACCTTTAACAAAAATCAATATATGATCAAAATGACTTGGATAACTTCTGCAAACACCGTCGCCGATAGGGATCACAAACAGGGGAAATGAAATGGCCATTTCAGGGCACACTAAAAGTGGATGGATGGATTCGCGATGTTTTATTAAACAAGAAACGGATGACGAATTTCTGGGATGGACGGAAAAAGAAAAGCAATTCAAAAATAATTATTACTCAAAGAAGAAGGAAGGGATAGAATTACGTACTCATATTTCTGAGTCTTGAAAAGGATAAAGCCGGATTTAATCCGCTCGACCGCGTCAGACCTGGACGAACCCACTTCCTTCAGCTCTGCCGTTAACTGCTTGATTTTTGCGGCGGCTACGTTCCCGAGGTCGGATTTCTTGCTGCCACCGATCGGCGAAACCAAAAACAAAAAGGAAGAACAAAAGGTCAAGAGTCTCGCACGATAACGGTGAAATCACCGTAAACGATGTGTGTGGGCCCCATTATATGATCAATGGCTAAAATCGGTCGTCAACGTGCGAAATGCCAAGTCGACGAGAAAACTCGCCTTTCTTGCCGGAAAAAATGAGTTTCCCGATTCAACGCCATTTTTCGGATCTAATGGCGATGATTTGGGAGTAAAACACAGAACCGCGTTGATGATGGATTCGTCAAAACGGTGAAAAAGCTCACGCGTTGTGGGTGAATATACCGACACCGCTATCGAACCATTAATTGGCTGATCTCCTTTGGCAGAAAAAAGGCCAGACAGAGAGAGAGAGAGAAAGAGAATATTGCGTGTACCTGAGAAGCTCCTCGAGTCCTGCAATGGCGTCTTCGTACGAGTCCGTAGCCATATCGTCTCCCTCCTGGAGCAAGTACATACAAAGTCAGTTACCAAAAAAAAAGTACATACAAAGCCAATTAAACGAGCTTCTCGAACAAAATACAGAGAAATCATTTATGTAATATATATGGATTGAAACGATCCACATGATTCTGAATTTCAGCCAAAAATGCAAGGAAAAGAGGAACGACTCTGATCTGAATTTCAAACCACGAGGTTCGAACAAGATGAAAAATCAACAAGAACTGCGATCCAAATCCGAATAAACCAGCGAAAATTGATGAGATGATGATGATCATGATACAGACCTTGTTCGAGTGAATTCTGGCGAAAATTGGATGAAAAACACTTCACGTTATACTAGTAGACGCTCTGTGGTTTGGTATTTATAGCGCGAGATCTCTACGTAATTGGCCCTCAGACTTATTAGAAAACAGGGTATTTTGTTCTAATTAAAATGTTTATATATTATACACATGTTTCTGATTTCATATATAATGCTATAATATATTTTACCAAAAAAAGAACAATATCCACCAACTTTTAAAAAACGCGTTTTTATAATCACGTTGTTTAATGACGCTTTATTATAGTGAGATATACATATATATATATAAGGCTTAATGACAATATAACATTTAAAATTCAGGTAAAACCCTTAAAAAATCTCCAACTTGTAAAAATATATACAAATAAACCTTCAACTTGAAAAACTGTCATTCAATCTCCGAACTTGTAACTTGTCACTGAATAAAACCTCGAACTTGCAAATTGTTGCTCTAATAAACTTTTGACCGGTTTGATCACAATTTTAGGCGATCGGAAATCTACGTATTAACGGATTGCTGATGTCATCTTATACATGTTATCAATTTTAGTTTAAAAAATGACATCAACAATCCGTCAATACGGGGATTTCCGATCGTTTGAAATTGTGTTCAAACCGGTCAAAGGTTTATTAGAACAATAATTTGCAAGTTCGAGGTAAGTTCGGGGATTGAATGACAGTTTTTCAAGTTGAAGGTTTATTTGTATATATTCTTGCAAGTTTGAGGTTTTTTAGGGTTTTACTCTTAAAATTCCTGAAATCGTAAATAAATATATTACAAAACAGAAAATTAAAAATCTTACGGGAGGCATTTTCTTGGAGCAACATAAGATCCAACATTTGTTGAATTTTGCGGCCATGAAACCTAATCTTTTGTTTTTTGGTCTTCCCTGTCCGCAACCTGTGTCGCCAATGTAAATATGCATCATTTACTTATTACAAACTCTAATTTCTAATTCGTTATTCCGTAACTGAAGCATCTAATACCTTTATTTATTTATTTATTTATTTATTTATTTATTTTGGTGGCTTAATTTGCTAAAGAGTGAAAAAAAATATGGCATTTCATGAGGATTGTGGGCTTTATGTTTTTCTTTGCACTTTAATATGAATTATATCACAAGAACATGTAGTCGAGACATATATATATATATATATATATATATATATATATATGTATATATATGGAAAGGAAGTACCTTTTGGATGAAGGAGAGGGACTTCCTTATATGTTAATGAAGGACATTGGTGTTAGCCTTAGCTCCTCGTGATGCTGTACGGACGCTGGAGCGAGGGAGCTTGAGGGAGATGGAGAAGAGAGAAAGGATTTTTGGGAAATGAAATAAACGAAGAAGGAATTTTATTTTATTTTATTTGTATAACAAGGAAAAATAATGACCGTTCATACAAAATATGGAGCTTTGTTATTTATTTGGATGAAGAAAGTGAGAGGCGAATCAACCGTGGCTTCTTCTTATTCCCATTATTATTATTTTTTAACACATGAGAACATTTTCTTATCAACATAAGGTTGGCGCCATAAATGATAAATCTATAGAAGATTTACCAACTCCATATTGCGCCATCTTTTATCTCCTGTTTTATCTACACAACACGAGGATAGAATGCATATTTGTCGATTTTCCACGTCAGCAGAGTCCAAACCCAGAAAATAAATATGGGCCTTGGTCCGTTAGTTATGTTGGGCCTGTTTAACAAAGGTATCCAGAATCGCTGGACGTATGGCCCACCAAATCTTCCATGTCCGAGTTACATTGGGTTGTTCTCTCGGCCCTAGCAAACATTTCCAAATTGAAATATTAATTAGTTAAAATCTTAATCGAGGTAATGTTATGGAAGGAAAAGTGTTACAATTTAGGGTATTTTTGTAGAATTTTCCTTAACATAATTACATGAATTACAAGTACCCTTTTAATTTACAGTGATTGGTTCACGCACCAAACATTATGGCCCTTGGATATACAACTCTATTTTGGATCTGACTAATACATATTTACCTATTTAAAAAAAAAAAAACAGTAGACTCAATAACCTAGTATCCGAGTTCTTCAATATTTAATAAACCCTTTTATATACGAATTCTTCAAAATTGTCAGAAGGGGTGGATGTTTCTGGTGAGACCATGCACATCGGCGAAAAACCCGACCTTCTTGTACGGAAGGTACGACCTCCTCTTGGCTTCTTCCCTACTCGCCCTGTTCCTCACGTACAGCTTCTCGAGCGCCGCCGCGGTTTCCTCCTTTGTCTTCTTCTTCTTCTCCTTCTCCTTCTCCTTCCCCCGGCTTTGTTTCTCCGTCGCCGCCGCCGTGTCGTTATTGATGAAAACAAAGGCGTGTTTGCCATGGCTGTTGCTCCTCAGGAGGATATCCCTGAATCTCCAGAGCCTCCGACAAGATTCCGGCGACGCCTCCGCCACCGTTTTTCCCGACCACGCGCAGAACGGGCCTTGGGGCTCCGAAGAATCCGCTGTCGAATCATCGTTGTCTCCGTATCTGACAACCTGATCCTCCACGAATACCTTCCTCGCCGGCGGAGGAAGATCCACACGGCCGGAATCGGACAGCAGGACATAGTCATCCTGGTGACACTCGGTTTCGTGGCGGAAGAGGAGATTGCGGTCGAAGAGAGGGTAAACCGGGCGGATCAGGCCGTCCTGAAAAGCTTCCTCGGCGGTTACGGGAGATTCCTCGGTGTTTACAAAGGCGAACGAGAATTCTTCTTCCTCCTCTTCCTTGTCGGACTTACCATCGGTTTCGACCGATTTACCCAGTTCTTGTCTCTCTTCTTCCTCGTCAGAACCACCCATCTTCGATTTTGAGCCCAAATCCTCACTCACCTTGACGGATAGCTCCGGCGGCTTCGATGAAGGAGGATCTGCCTGCATCTTTCTCGATCAGATCCAAAATCTTCTCTCTCTCTCTCAGAGAAAGCTTGAACGCTAAAACGAGGGTTATTCTCAGAAAGGAAGCCAAAATATGAACTTTTATTTTGGGGTTTAGATATTGAAATGTGAATGGAATGGAACAGGGGGACTCCCATTATATATTGTTGGTGGCCGAAGAAGAAAAGCTACCCCTTCCCTCTCTCTCTCTCTCTCTTACGTTTTTTTTTTCCTTCAATTTTTTTATTTCTAAATAGGAACCAGTACCCAAAAAACGGTTAATAATAATTGTAAAAAAAAATTCAATCTCTGTATATCAGCAACAAAATAAATATTTCACAAACACTTGGTTGTTTTAATTTTGGTTATAATTTTGGCTCAATCTGACGTTTTCGTGACTGTACTAATTGTCAAATCTCTTACGAAATTGTCTTCAGCGCTCTTAGATTCGTTTTGGGAGTTTAAAAAAAGGTAAAATGGGAAGGGAAAAAGAAAAAGAAAAATACGATATTTTTGGTATATTCTCTGCATTATTTTGAAATCGTAATTGACGTTCATGGGAACCGGAAATCTAAATCCACTGCCCCACCCACGCCGATGACACGTGGACTCGATCACGCGTGGACCTTGACCGACCTCGGCCCTTCCCGCAGTGTGAATTGTGATCGATTACCGGTTTAGGACTATGGTGTTGGTTTGGTTTGGTTTTTTCACGCGGACATTAAATTCTCAGCCCACATGCTATAATTTATTCAAATGTATCTTTTTTACAGATGGATTTGGACAAATGGGCTGAAAAATATTTAGTGAAGTTATTTTATTTATATTCGAATGGATGAATATTAAGAGTATTGTTTGCGTCTCGAGCAAGAGTAGGTTCCAATCTGTATGAATGTAAAAATTAGTTGGGCCGGTCAGTAAACAGTAAATACTCAGATACAAAACAAATTCCAAGTTTAGATATTATGGGCTTTAAAAGTCTGTTTCATGTTGAGGCCCACCAAAGGAATTCTTCTATTGGCTTATACTCTTTCCTTATAGTAACAATAATCCGACGTGGCAAAATTCGAACGGGTACGGGGTCGGGTAACTGTAATCCGATTTGCTTTTTCTATATTATGTTTCATCTTGATCCTCTACGGTGTGTGTATATATATATATATATATGAAGAAGAATAATTTCATTTCCGTACATGTTTCCAAAGTTTCAGCTCCAAATTCCAAATTACAGACCCATATGAAGAACCAAGCGAGACCCACATGAAAAAAACGATGAAAAAAACTACAGAAGAAAAAAAAAAGAACCAACTTTGATATATCTGACTTCCTCCATAGCAAGAGGAGATCACTGGCATGAGACACGATCAATGTCCTGGCCTGAATTCTATCTCGAGATCTCCATTTTCCGGCAGCTTGAACCTGCTTCCATGTTTGATGGCCGGAGGAGGGTGTCCTCCTCCTCCTCTCTTGGGACGACGAGTGAAAGGGACAAGAAGAGACTCATTGTCTCTCATGTGTTGCTGTCGTCTCTATAAATGTGGGGTTTTTGACTCGAGGGCGAGAGTGAGAGTGAAAGTGCAGTGTGTTTTTGCAAGTGGGGGGTTTTCTATGGGTTAGGGCTCATAGGGAAATTGGGAATCGAAGAGGTCGTTTCAGATCGAACCCAAACTCAAGATCCCCTCTTTCTCTCGGCTCGTGTTCCACCGGTCGGATCTCACGGCTCTTCTTGGAAGTTTTCTCGTGCTTTGGAGGCTTGTCCTGCTGCTTAGGGAAGCGGCCACGGCTGCGTATTCTTCCGAACACACAGGCCAAAGCCGACAAGACAAGGATCACTGCAAGAACTATAAAGACCGTCCCGAAGGAACCACTTGAAGCAGAAGAGGAGGAGGAAGAAGAAGAAGGGTCTGGATACTGTTTAGTGAATGTGTTTGGGTAAACAACGGGTGGTTGCTGGAGCTGTTCCGGCTGATCTCCCATGGCGTTTTTGTGTATTATTGGTTTTGAATGTGATTTTTGGGACGTCAAAGAAGTGATTCAAAAAGGGTTCTTGAGTTGTGAATGTGGGTTTGAACCTAACATGAGGTTTTGAAAGAAAATAACACAAAAATGGGTAATGAAACTTAAGATTTTGAAATGGAGAGGGGAAGATGCTCTTCTTTAAAGAAAGGAAGACAAATTAACTAAAGGTGTATATATTATATGTGTGTGTGTATGACAAATCTTGTAGAGCTTTGGGAGGAGAGAAAGTGAGATTTTGGTAATGATACATTGTTTCCAAGAAAGACCAAAGCTTTACTAATCATTGACTCCTTTAGTTCCCAGTTTTTATTTTCATTAATTATATAAATCCCCAAACCCTCATATTTTCATGAAATTAAGTTATTAATGAAATATTTTTTTTTCTTTAGTGAATAAGATATTTTTCATGGACAGGGACAGGCACACACAATGGCAATATGCTTAACATAGGGATTAGTGTAAAGCGCATTTTTCCTCCTTAATTATATGTCTTGTTATTCAAGTTAAAAAGAAAAAAAAAAGGAGAAGAAAATGTCCTTGGAAATATTGCCCTTAGATTTTGACTACATTGCAATTTTTTTCCTTCTCCACAAAGGAAACAAATTATTCCTATAGCATATGATACAAAAGCTTCTCTCATAACAAAATATAAGTTAAACCTATTATAAGTTTATAATTTTAATATCTGTAAAATATTACTTTTACAGGATAGATAATTTGGTCTCGGAAAGACTTTTTGGAATGTAAGTTTTTAATCCGGTTTATATTCTTTTGTTATTTTATCAATGATCAAATTTAATATTTTATTTGTTATTCTAAAAATAAAGATTATGATTACAAATGCAATGAATGTGTTGTGTGTATATATTGAGCACGCTTATGTTGAAGGATCTAATATTATTGTGACGTGGAGGTGGGGAAATTATTCCTCCTCTCTTGACAACCCAACCCTCTCTCTCTCTCTCTCTCTCTCTCCTTTTTTTTTTCTTTTGCTTTTCCTTTTATTTTAAAATTTCCCTTTGCCATCGAGCCGGGCTGATTGGGCCGTTACACGAAATACGCTTTTTAATAGTGGGCCAGCCCATTCTACCACTTGTAATATATGACTTCATATTTTTTGGCCCATTGAGCCCATTTATTAATCCCCCCCCAACTGTGCATTGTGAATCACATGTTTTTCTACATCATAAATTGTTTTTTTTTTTGGAAACATTCCCAAAGCAGATGATGCATTGGAGCTCACGTTAATCTTAAGTTTAAAAAAAAAAAAAAAATCGCTGCTGGTTTTTGTGTTGGATTGGCTGAGTGAACACACACACTGACATATATATATATATACTGCAAAATTATTGGAAAACATGGCAAAAGCTAACTTCATTAATCGATGCTCAAGTGAGGGCGTTTGGTTTGGTTCCGGAGTCAAGTGTCTCTTCAAAGTTAAGAGACTCTGAAGAAATTGTCATTCCCAATACAAACTTTATTTGCTCCTCGAAGAATCCCCAGCCCCTACCAACCATCCATACCCTCTCTCTCTCTAGTTGACAGCATAAACCCTAGATTTCAAAAAAACCCTAATTCCACACTACATTTTATCTCTTTCCCTTTCTCTTACGACCTTAATTTTTTTTACTCAAATGGTGATTTTCCCCAAAGGGTATGCCTCGGAGCTTTCTTCTCACGGTACCCATTGTCGCCTTCTTCATGCCCCTGCAAGCGAAACTAAAATTCATACGATTATATGGAAGTGATAATGGCTGGAAATATGCATGCATATTACATATATATATGTATGCGTGTGTGTGTGAATTTATTGTGTCGATTATTGGTCCAGTTGCTTGCACGGACTGTTACGAATGACCATTAATCACTAGACGTCTTGTTTTCTCTTTCAATTTTCACTGTTATATTATCAATTAACAACCTCGTACTTGTCTGGAGTTGAATCGACTAAGCACGATCTCCAAAACATTAACTTTAACAGAGAAGTGACGTGTAATGAGTTACCTGTTGTTGATGAGCAGAACAATGATGAGATTTGCATGGCGCTGTTTCATCTCCGTGGCTAAAACACTGATCGGCCACTCTCTTGTGGTGCACACGAGGGAAATGTGCCCACTTTCCATGACCCCAAAATCAAAACATGACAAGAGAGAGAAAAAGAAAGAAAGAAAGGGTTAATTAGTGAAAATCACATAATTAATTAAAGTTCCTCGTTTTTCGGAATTTAATTTAATGTTATACGTTTTTGGCGGCCAGGCTGAAAGCTTCCTTGTGAGAGATGCTGGGATTTTGAGCCTTGAGCCTACTGATCTCTTCCCTTCATCATCACAATCGAAACCATGACAACAAAAGCCCTCTAATCAAAACTCATAACCATGAATCTCTTGCTTACAGTACTCTATATACTGTATATATATATATGTGCACGTTTATTACTTGATGAAGCAATTGTAGGCTGAAGGAGCTCTTTGGCGTCTCTCCGGTGCTGAACAATATTCCAATTTCAATCATGTGATCAGGATCATATATAGAACCAATTTGAGGCCAAGAAGCTTTGCATTTTAATTGGTTATAATTATATAAACCACGTACGTTTGTTAACGACTTGGTTAACCCGTGGCACATCTTCGTCTTCATTGTCTGAAGATGTCGCCAGATTCGGCGGGCTGCCTTTCACCTGATTCTCTTTCCATGATTCTTGTTCCGTAGTTGCCTCTTCTTTCTCCTGCAAAGATCGAGTGTCACAATAGATTCTATACGAGAGTAAGTATAATAAAGATGAGCTAGATTCATTTGATCTGGAAATTAAAACCATATATGAATTTTGAGATACCATATTCGAGACCATATACAGAAATTAAGAGCAATTTACTGATAAACTATGTGTAGAGAAACAAATTACAATTGGAGCGTGTTAGATGATGATGATGGCTTTGGTGCTTGATGACATGCCTCATCCCCAAAATAGGCGAAAAGAACGCACATCATATGCCAAATATACAGAGAATTAACATGTCCAAGAAAAATATAGGAATGGGTCCAAACATATGAGGGAGATGAAGGTATTGCTGAAACACACGCAGCAATGGATATAGTGAGGTCTTGGTGAGAATTTCATTAACGCCATACAAACAAATTTTGTGTGGATCACACATATATACACGTATATACATACATGTGTGAATGTGAGTGTAAGTATATATATAGAGACCTGATCATGATGGGTGAGAGAGGCTAGAAGATGGAGGGGAATGAAGGAAGCTTTCATCATATTGACAGAGAGGAGGCTGGTGCAGTGCCCACATCTCACAGTCACCACCTTTGACAGGCTGCTAAATGGCACACTCACCTAATAATTCACGTATATACACAGTAAGATCATTGCAATGGAATTTGAAAAAAACTAAAACCCAACATACCATACACATGATCAGTCTCAGAAGACAAGATGAACTTGTTATACAGAGTGTGTGTATATATATATATATACCAGTAAAATTGTTGAGCAGTAGCCACATTGGACATGGCAAATCTGCCCCGGCAGATCAAACAAATGGTTGAGTGTCGTCATGTCTGGCTATGTGTGTGTTTTTAGAGAGAGAGAGAGAGAGAGAGATTAATGTGGATATTTTACAGTGAATGAGTGTGTGTGTGATATATAGTCCTTTGAATTGCTTTATAGCTTAAAACTAAACACAGTACTTGTTCTGAGTTTCTTCGTCCTACCAATAAATGAGATCTCCCTCCCCTCCTCGTCGTGATGAGCTGTGATCAGTAAATGACTCTCGCTCTCTTTTTAATCTCATTTCCGCTTTTAGTAAGGAGATATCTACTACCCCTAAGTAATGCCTATGAAACACTTTCCTTTTCGGGAAAGGTGAAACATTTTGATTCCAATAACCCTCTTAGATAACTCTCGTACTCGTTGGTGGTGGAGTGCCACATTACGTAGGGGTTTAGATATTTTGCCACCATCATCTATTAAGGTGCAGCACCATTATTAACGCCATATTCTTCATAGTCATACCCACGACATAGATAATATCTATTTTTCTCGCCAGTTTATATTATGTATATCGGGCTAAATGGTTAAGTACTTTTTGAAATTTTGAAATATATTAGTCGACTCGCAAAACCCTAAAAGTTGCATTGGATGTAGGAGAATTCCCGTTTAGGTAAAAATAGAAAAACAACGTCAGTCCAGATGTTGGACCGATGCATGGTCAGCGCTCATGCCATTAAACATTCAGATTAGACATTGTTGTAACCCAACAAAACAAAATGATTAAGTAAGAATTAAAGATATAGTTTAAATTTGTATGGAGTTTAGTCAATACTATACTATGTTTTTTTATATTACAGATAGTAATTAAGGATTTTAAAACACAGAAATTACGTTGTGTATCGGAGGAAAAAGAGTTCAAAGCCACGCTAATTTCATGGAAAGAAAAACACGAGAGGTAATAACGATAATAATAATTAATCAATAAATAATAAATGGTGATGGGTGAGGAGTTCCATGCAAAGGGGACGACGAGTGAAAGGGACAAGAAGAGACTCATTGTCTCTCATGTGTTGCTGTCGTCTCTATAAATGTGGGGTTTTTGACTCGAGGGCGAGAGTGAGAGTGAAAGTGCAGTGTGTTTTTGCAAGTGGGGGGTTTTCTATGGGTTAGGGCTCATAGGGAAATTGGGAATCTTAGGATTTGTCTTTCCTCAATCATAGTAACTGTAATCCACCTCTCTCTTCGAGTTTCTGTGCTATCCCTCTTTGTGATATCTCCACTATCCCCCTCTTTTATTGCTACCGTCCAAGCAATATATTACATATAAGCCCATTTGTCCATATATATAACCAAATATAAATTAATGGATATGATTTCTTTAAAAGCGAAAATATCGAAATGATGTGAATATAGTAAAAACAAATAATCAACAAAATTGAAAATTTGTATGAAAATAATTTATTAATAAAACCTAACCAAATTCAATTAAAAGTCGAATTATTATAATTTTTTTAAAACCGAGATAACAATACCATAACTTTGGATTTCCAAACACAATCTACTTTCAATCCACTGATAATTAATCGGCTTCGACCTTTACACCATCTCTCTTTAGTCTTTGCGTCCGCATTCATGTATTTCTAGTAAACGAAATCCGTACACAAATCCATTAATTATACATGTATTTATATTGCAATTCGACCCGTTTATCATACACCACTAGAACAATATCACGAGATTCTTCAGAGACTTCACGGATATATAAACAAAGCCCCCTTTACCATTTCTTGAGATGTTTAAGTGTGAATTCTACTAACTCAATATATAACTAGAATAAATAATAAGATATATAATAATCATATTGGCCAGATTGATATATCATGAACAGCAAACGAAATTAAAATCTGTGAGTTGAATTTCAAAAATGGTTTCGCAGTCCCTGAAATCTGCAGGGTTGGTCGACTAGAGATTGGGTTCGATGAACTATTTCACATTTTCACTTTGATATGACAATCAATGTTTTCGAACTATTTTTTTTAAAAAAAATTACTAATAAAAATACCCTTTAAAAGACAATAATATACAAGAGTTCATAAGAAAGGCATGCTTATTTTTATTATTTGCATGAACAATATATAACTCACACAACAACAGCGATTGCAACTCAAAATTACTCATTGACGAAACACACTTCACGTAACATTGAACGCATTCTAGAGAGAAACGTAAAAAATAAAAAAGAAAGAAAGACAAAGAAAAGAAAAGATAGAAAACAAGAACCCTTAATTATAAGTAAGAATCGAGATCGATAACTGCACGTAGCTATAGATAAAGACCATGGTAGGCTCGGCCGACCGATAGAGAGGATATAGAATCGAGTCGAGCCCATCCGCCGTTTACATGACTTGCCGGTTCACCCGGCTCTTAACCAACGGTAAACAGCAAACCGGTCGGTTAAGAGCAGGGAGAGAGAACATTCGAGATTCTCTTTGGGGGTCCAAGGAAGATTTGTGATGAAACGTACGTGAGAGAGACATCGCATGAGGGTCAAAACCTCTGGACCAGATAGAAGGCTTCGGTGGAAGATCTCCCCCCATTTCGGACCAAAACTCAGCTTCATGCTTCCTTGGTTCCTTATGAGGAAAGGAATTCTTCCACGGCCGGATCAGGAGTCCGTTGTCTCTCTTTATATATATCTATTTGTTTTGTCTTTTTTTTGTTTGGTTATAAGTTAAAACATGAGAAATGGTGACAAAAGACATAAATAGAAAGGGAGTCGAGTCATCTAATATGAATATACAATGATTATATTATAGTTTATTAAACGTCATCTGTTATTAGATTTGATTTCGGCAACAAAAAAAAAATTGTACTTTTTTTTTTTGTATGAAAAAGCATATTTGTTGTTTTATGATGCAGCGACAAGTGGATTGACAATATTACCCCTCGCCTTGTCAGGGTCCACCGCTAATTATGCGGCTAAGCTAGTAAGCTTCTGGTCCGATTGACAATAATTGGAGGGTAGTTATGTAAATAAGCATTAAAGGATTGGGACCCACAGCTTTCGTTTGTGGTGGACTGGCTGTTTCCCATTGGGTGCCCCTTTTTCTTTGCTTTCATTCATGTATCACCTTTTTTCCTTTTTACACGTTTCACCCACCTTGTGACATTTTTTCCTTTTTCAACATTTATATATTATCTGAAATTCAGATTTTATATATACAAAATGATAATTGGAGATTGAAAATTCATAACACAATATATTAAATTGGACCCAGAAAACAAATTTATCGGACTTGATAGTAAGCTAACCAAAGCTCCTTTGTTCGTATGCGTAGTTCAACCGGTGAAATGGGGATACAAAGTGTCTATTCCGCCCTGAGTTCGAACTCTAAATTGAAGAGGAAACGCATAATTTAAATCACATAGTTAGTTCTCGTCCTTAAAATTAGTCTGGATCGGTCTAAGAAACCCGGTTACCAAAAAAATACATACCTTCCAAATGTTACGTCTACTTATTGTTTTCCTACACGTGTTATTTAACCAAAGCTCCTTCATTCATATGGAAACAAACAAATAATCAAAGGGACAGGGAAAAAACCAACTTTTTGTATAATAATAATAATAATAATAATAATAATAATAATAATAATAATAATAATAATAATAATAATAATAATAATAATAATAATAATAATAATAATAATAATAATAATAATAATAATTCCTTTTTTCTAGAAGATAGATGTGTTGTTATGTTCACTAAATTCAACCTCCGATTATTCAGGGTATGATTTATATTGTTTATCCTATTAAGAAAATAATAGTTGGGTTATTCTACTAATAGATTCAACCTACACATGCTAAATGGGCCCATCGTTAGGCCCATAATGTTATTTATCATATAATATTTCAGATCCGATAGGCCCATAGTTTGGAAATAATATTATAGGACCTATTTGCACACCTTAATGGGCCTTTTAGTTATGTAATTTTTTTGGTTATAATTTAAATAAATAAAAACGAAAAAAAGAAGATTGAAAGCGGTGATAGAAAATAGATATGTAGATGCAAATCTAATCAAACTGAATATAGCAATTTTTATCTTCAATTTAACCCAAGTCGTTAGTAGTTAATAAAAGTAGATATGTAGATGCAAATATAATAAAAGTATATAATATCTTATGTGAGATATGATTTTATTATTTTTATCCAATTGATGGAATCCATCTTTTGGTTATCAAAGATTTGAATATATGTTGTTTCATATTTATATAATTATATATCTGGGCTCCCAAAAAAAAAAAACGTCCGGCAGCCAATGAACGAGAGGCAGGATATCTATCTAGAAGTTTCTAGGCTAAGGCCGTCTGGTCCCCCAAAGCTTCGGACTTTTCAAAACACAGAATTTTAATTGTGAACCAAATTTCAGGGAAACCGGAGGATTTTCCAGAAACTGCACAGATCAGCACCAAAGGAGGATTCATCAAAATCGCATCGTTCTGGTTGCTCCGTATCTAGTAGGACCCACACAATGTGGGTTGTATAGTAAATGACACGTGGCGCTAACCCAGAGGCACGGAACAAACGTTGCCTTCTCGTTCTTCCTCCCTGTCACGGGGGAAAGACAGAGAAGAAGAAAACAAAACGAGAGAAAAGTGATGAACAGTGAGTCTCCCATTGGTTGGTGCGCTGAGTTCGTTCACGCGTGAGGGTAAAACGAATGAGAAAGTTGTGGGTAAACCATTTTTCAAAGTCAGAAGCAAACGACGGAGAAGAAGGAACGTTTCTTTTTCCATTATTTGAACCCGCTCCTTTAGACTCTCGGGTTTTTTATTTTTAAAATTTCTGTTCAATGTGGACACAGAGAATCCTCTTTTGATCCATTTGTCTCTCCTGTTATTTCACAAGGGGTAAACAAAGTTTCAAAATTTTGCTTTCCTGATAAGAAAATTTGAATCCTTGATTCTCTTTCTAAGCATTTGAACGAGGAGAATAGGCATCGGAGTTTGGTCATCCGGTCTTCGTTTGTCGTGGGCAAAATCAGATTTTGCTTTGTGGGCTTTGATCCTTTCCTTGGAGAAGAGAGGAAATCTTGGGTTTTTCCCCAAAAAAAAAACATCGGAATTTGGTAATTAGGGGTTTTCAGATCGAGAGGATGATACGGTGGTGGATGACATCGGCTCTTCAGTTGACGGAGCTATTCGTGAGCTCTGTGGTTCATTTGATGTATGGGTTTTATATTTTCAGTTCTGCCGTCGCCGGTGACATTTTTCAGACGTTGAACGATCGCGCCTTCAAGCCTAACGCCGACATTCTGGTCAAAGACGTTGACCAAGTAAAGACAACTCCGACAACAGACGTCAACGATTTGCCTCCCATTGTTTTGGTCCATGGAATTTTTGGGTTTGGTAAAGGGGTAAGCCCTTTTTCTCCTTTTCTTTTGTTTTCTTGGGTGATTTTCCAATAGGTTTGTCATACTTTTTGATCTGAAATTGCAGAGGTTAGGTGGTTTGTCATACTTTGCTGGTGCCGAAAAGAAAGACGATAGGGTTTTAGTGCCTGATTTGGGATCATTGGCGAGTATACACGATAGGTACAGTTATTGATCACAAAAAGAAAAGTAAAAGCATCATATGAGGATTATTTCTGATAAGGGTGTTTTAGGGTTTCAGGGCTAGAGAACTGTTCTATTACCTGAAAGGTGGACGGGTCGATTATGGGAAAGAACACAGCAGGGCTTGTGGGCACTCGCAATTTGGCCGAAGCTACGAAAAAGGTTGAATTTTTTATATTGCTCTCAGCTTGATTTGGACATTGTCTTAGAACTAGCCATTGTCTGTTATTCTCTTATCATCTTTTGGATTATCATCAGGGGAATATTCAGAATGGGATGAAGACCACCCCATACATTTTGTTGGTCACTCTGCTGGGGCTCAGGTTGTCCGTGTACTGCAGCAAATGCTCGCGGACAAGGTGAAAGACACGACTCTTTTCTCGCTACACGGAAACAATTACAACAGAGTATTTATCTGTATACAGAAGGTTTTTATTAGACAGAGCTCATTAATGGTTGAATCCTGTTGCTTGTTTTCAGGCGTTTAAGGGTTACGAGAACACAAACGAGAACTGGGTTTTGAGTGTTACGTCGTTGTCTGGTGCATTCAACGGGACTACGAGAACATACTTGGACGGAATGCAGTTAGTTTCTATCACATCCATCTTTCTTAAGAGACACAATAAGATATTGCTGAAATAAGTTAGAGAAACTTGTGTTTATTATAAGAATCAATCACTGAGATGACAATTAGATATCGGGAACTGGCTTTTGTCAGATGAAAAATGCTGGTTTGTTCAGAGGACCTTCTTCTCTGTTACAGTGTCTTTGCTTTCGAAGCTAATTTCAAAGGGTATATCAATTGTCAGGCCAGAAGATGGAAGGACCCTGAAACCCATATGCCTACTTCAGCTATGCAGACTTGGAGTCATAATGTACGACTGGCTCGACATTCCCTGGCTCAAGTCCTACTACAGTTTCGGGTTTGATCACTTCAACATGTCGTGGAAGAAATCTGGACTGCGCGGCCTTGTGAACTGCCTGCTCGGAAACAGCGGCCCGTTTGCATCTGGTGATTGGATCCTGCCCGACCTCACGATCCAAGGATCCATGAAACTCAACGCAAGTCTCCGGACGTTTCCAAACACGTTCTACTTCAGCTACGCAACGAAACGCACCCGAAAACTGATGGGACTGACTGTTCCTTCTGGCGTTGCGGGAATTCACCCCTTGCTTTTTATCCGAGTTTTGCAAATGAGCCAATGGCGTTTTCCTCCGGATGTTCCGCTTCCGTATAAAGGCTACAGGTTTGGTTAGCTAGCAAACAATAACAACTTATCCAAAAGTATGAATCTTGATCTGAGAAAGGGCAGGTTTTTTCTTTGTTTGTTTTGCAGAGATGAAGACTGGCAGGACAATGACGGAGCACTGAACACCATATCCATGACTCACCCGAGAATCCCACTCGAACATCCCTCCCTCTTTGTTTCCAGCGACTCTGACTGTCTCCCGTTGCAACCCGGCATCTGGTTAACTCTTCAATGCCAACTGTTAACAGATTCAACCATCATTTTTCTTCTTTTTAATCACGAGAATAAGAGGGCTTTCAATGAATGGCAGGTACTACAAGGTCGTGGAGGGAGATCACATAATGTTCATAGTGAACAGGGAGCGAGCTGGTGTTCAGTTCGACCTGATCTACGACAGCATCTTCGAAAGGTGCAGAAAACATGTCTTCAGAAAGTCTCCTCAGGCAGTTCCGAACGAATCTCTGCTTCACTGAACATTCCGTACTGTTTTTTGTAGCTCTGTAGAAGAAGCCTCAAGGCTGAATCCACATAGACTCATTACAGAAACCATAATAAGACCCAAGTACGTTAAAAAAAAAAGGTGTAAAGTTGCAGATGTAGCAAGTCTTGTAGTTGTTGCAGCCTAAGAGAATCTAGCTCAAACAGAAGGTTTGCCACATGGGCCTGGTCTTGGGTCTGGGCGTGGACCCGTTTTCCACGTGACCTCGGTCCCCGATAATGAACCAATTTTCTCCACACTAATTTTTTTTTATTGGAAAAAACGGTGATAATTAATGTTAGTTCCCGTTGCATATATCACGTTGTTGGTGGGTCTATGACATTTTATATAATTCCACATTGAATCTAGTTTTCTTATGAGCTTCCGATTCAAAACTATATATATATATATATATATATATATATGACTGAATAGATGTAATCTGAAAATGTCGGAATTAAACATATGCGGTCATGTGAACGAGATTATATTATAATTTTCTATAATAATAATAAAAAAGTATAATTAAGATTAAGAAATAACTTAATGGAAGCCGAAACCTCCGTTCACACGGCGTTGGACGTAGAAAAGTCAACCCAATAAATTATTCGCGCATCTCACACGCTATGATTATTACTTCGCCAATAACAAATATTGGTAATTGTTTATTATAGTTGACAAATTAAGAACCCCTTTCGTTGTCCAGGACATTATATCTTTCGGTCCCCATGGAAAACTTATCTTAAAACTACATAATATCAGTTTGCCACTTTGTTCTAAAAAAAGATTTCAATTCTACGCGGACTTATACATATATATCAATAACAGTTGTATTCTCTATATATGTGCACGTGGAAATTGCTTGTATCTCATATTATACACGAAATTCAGTCCTATAGTTGACCATATAATTTACACGTCGAGGGATATATTCAAGCATAACAGTTGATCATATAATCCAGCTTAATTTCTTATTCGAATTTGCACAAATTATATGGTTTTTGGTCGAGGGATTAATTTAAGTGTATAACACACAAAAAAAAAACACTTGATCGAGATTCCAAGGATTCAGAGTCAGACGCATCAATAACAATCATTAAATATAATATAAACTCATCACCACCTCTCCTTTCTCTTTCGGTGTTCTCAAATTCATCAATTTAAAATTTAAAGTGGTTTAGATACATAATTAGATAACGTCGCATGTAAGTAAGGTTTTTAATGACCAGAAAAAAGTATTTATATTTTTAATGGAATTTTCATTAAAAAAAAATAATTAACCAATAGGGGTTGAAAAAAAAATACCCGAATTTCGGGTATCCGTTCCAACTCAAGGGTCGGTATCCGAATTTTCGGTATCCACGGTACAATGAGATAGATATCGGGTTTTAGTATGTTTAAAATCCGAAATTCGGGTTCGGCTTCAGATTTGTATTTTCGGGTCGGATAATTACCCGCGGATACCCGATTAGTTAAAAATTAAATAATATATTTTTAAATTATTACAAAATTACAAATATATTTATCAATACTTAGTTGTTTTTATATTTATTTATGCAAAAAACTATCATTTTATAATCTATTTATTTTTAGTATAAATATTTATAATTAATTTTATAATTTATTTGTATAGAATATATAAATTTGAGAGTTTTTAATTAGATTTGTTTAAATTTGTCAGGTTCGGGTATTTATGGATAACCAAAAATTGTTTCACATGTAATATAGTTTAGATACCCAGAAATTCGGATTCGATTTCGGGTTTTGAAATTAATAACTCGTCGAGTTGAGGTTCGGATACCCTAAAAATTCTGGATACCGGAATTGGCCCGACTCCTACTAACCACCATCGCTCTTTCATATAAACAAATAAATAAATATTTTAAGGGAAATGAAATTTTCTCTGCTTCTATAAATACCGTCATCCCCTAAACTTCTCCCAATCATTACCCTCACATCACATATACACATAAGTTGTGAAATACGCCGTAGCAAATTAATAAACAAGAAGACGAAGAAGGAGAATATGGTAGGGTTTGAGTACGCGAAGAAATCCGACAACGCTTCTAACAAGAACAACCTCTTGTCCGACGCCGTCATCAATCTCGATCAGTAAGTTTCACTGAATGAATTACATATATATATATACATATGTGTGTGTGTGTGTATTATGAACATGAATTAACAATGTCTTGGCCTCTAGATGTCTCATAAGCTAACTGCATTGCAGAATCCTCGGCTAAAAATCTATATTTCTGTTCGAAGATTCGTTTTGTTTAATTAAAATACGATTTAAAAAGAAAAAAGAAAAAAAAGAACGAATCTGATGGGGATTTACATTCTGTGAGAGGACAGCGGAGATCCGACGGCGTTCGAGGAGTATTGGAGGAAGATGGGGGACAGGTGTACGGTGGTGATTAAGGGTTGGGAACTGATGAGTTACTTCAGCGACGTGAACAAGGTGTGTTGGTTCATGGAACCGGAGCTGGAAAACGCGATCAGAGGTTTGCACGCAGCGGTTGGAAACGCAGCGACTGAGGAACGCTACATAGTGGTGGGGACAGGCTCAACGCAACTTTGCCAGGCCGCCGTCCACTCACTATCTTCCCTTCGTCCTTGTGGGACTCACCCTGTCAGCGTCGTCGCTGCCGCTCCTTATTATTCCGTAAGCCCTCTCTCTCTCTCCACATATTTATGATTCCATATACCATATAGCCAAGTTACGGTCCTCTTGGTTCATTTACTCATTCACAACTTACCAAAAAACTTTTTTTCTAGCTCTAGTGATAATGAGGAAATATACCAGATTTGATGTTATGTGGGTCCTAATACGTACATCATTAGTAAATAAGAATCAAATATTATATCTTTAGTTATTTGCGTGAAGTTTTATTTTTTCCAAAGTTCGATCAAAGGGGACAAGGTGACAGACATGTTTCTCGAACACACACATACAAATACAAACGCATATCTCTAAATATATATATATATAGTGGGACAGGCGACAATACACGAGCCGTCCATCTACATCTGCACGTTGTGGATTATTGTGCAATACAATTACATGGTATTGGTAACATGCCCCTGTCCCACTTTTTTTCTCCTTTTTTTAAATCAATTATTAATAAAAAAAAATCGGCATAACTATTATTGTAAATACACGTAATTTTTTTTATTATAAAATGTTTTAATGTAACTCTATCTAGTACATGTACTATTGATGAATAACCCATCGGAAAACCCATGACCCACCAATCTTTATATCGTAACCAGATTCCATATCATATTAAAGAAATATTTCTTTTTTCTTTTTTTATAAAAGTTTGTATATTAAAGAAATATTTCGATATAATACTATAGGAAAACTTGATTTAAAAAAAAATAACGTGATCATATGAAAGATTATGATATAAATTTGTGTAGACGTACGTGGAAGAGACGACGTACGTGAGATCGGAGATGTACAGATGGGGAGGGGATGCGAGGAGGTACGAGAAAGAAGAAGGGCCGTACATAGAGCTGGTGACGTCACCGAACAACCCGGACGGGACCATGAGGGAAGAAGTGGTGAAGAGGCCACAGGGCAAAGTGATATACGACTTGGCGTATTACTGGCCTCACTTCACTCCCATCACTCACCGCCCCCACCATGACATCATGCTCTTCACCTTCTCCAAGCTCTCCGGCCATGCCGGCTCCCGCATCGGGTACTCACCTCATCTTTCATTTCTCTTAATACTAGACGATATTATCATTGAATGATATATAGATCTATTCGTTAGGATCACGTCTATGTCTTCCATACGCAAGCTTTGAACTATGGTGATGTCATGCTAAATATAAACATTATAGAAAAAATTGAAATTGTGGTGCTGATCGAAGAAAATAACGATGTGTTAGTGTGACTGATTGATGATCTTTTGAAATTAACGGTGAAGACGTGTGGTTGAGATAAAAAATAATATTAATTTTTTAAATTTATTTTAAATAGTGTGTATTGTATCGAGTTTTTTCGTATCAAATATTTTTAAATATTTTTCTTTAAATAAGTTTTTTTTTTTTTGTGAAAATATATACTTGAATTTGATGATGGGTGATATATATGCACAATTAAAAAAAGGTGGGCGCTGGTGAAGGATAAGGAAGTGGCGAAGAAGATGGTGGAGTACATAATGGTGAACTCGATCGGTGTCTCAAAGGAGTCGCAGATGAGGGCGGCTAAGGTCCTCAACGTCATGACCGAGACATGCCGGTCCCATTCCGACAGCTTCTTCCTGTACGGACGCGACAAGATGAAGAACCGCTGGGATAAGCTACGGGAAGTGGTCGAGCAACAGAGCGACGATATCTTCACTCTCCCGAAGTACCCAGAAGCCTTTTGCAACTTCTTCGGCAAACCCATCGGATCATACCCTGCGTTTGCTTGGCTTGCCATTGGTTGCCATGAGGAGAGTGATCTTGGGAGCCTCTTGATGAAGCAGAAGGTTCTGACCCGTTCAGGCAACAGATGTGGTTCCGACAAGAATCACGTCCGAGCAAGCATGCTCTGCCGCGATGATGTCTTCTCCCTCTTCCTCCACCGGCTTGCCTCCATCACCATCCCCGCCACCGACTCGCTCCATTAGATATATATAGCTTTTTTATATTATAGGCGATCACTATTAAGTACTAATGTTCATTTGTCCAGGCCATCTGGGTTGGAAATAGTCTTATTACATTTTGGGCTTAGTCCATATAACCGCGGTTAAGATCATTCATATGGGCCTGGCCCAATAGTCAGCTCTATTTTATTCCTTGAGCCTGCAAAGTGGGCCACAACCTCTACGGGGGAGAACTCGATCACAAGCCACATGGCTCGTTTTCATTGGCTGAGCCCCCAAAAGAAAACCTCTCTGCAGAGTCGGAGTCCATACAAAACGGTGAACCACCACATTTATTCTCTCGCACAATTTATCCAATTTCGGAGTTACGTCTTCGTAGGAAAAATCAAGTCACAGGTCAGGTAGATACAAAAGATTTCGTCTTTCTTTCTTTAATCTCCTTGAAGACATTTTCAGTGGCTCTGCTGCTTCCCCTTCTCCTTATGCCCCGATTCTTGTCAGACACACACATGCAATCTGCTTCGGATATATCAAATATGCACAAATCCTATTTGAAGAAGTTTATCCTCCCTCTCTGTCTCTCTCGCGGTGCTCTGGACCGAGAGCTCTGGGAATTCCGACATTTAGTGGAAGGTGTGTGATGCTTGATCTTGTTTTGGACGATCCATTTCGAAAACCCATATGAAAATTTTGAATATTTCCTTCTCGTTTGATCGATTTGAAAGCCCCATTTGAAAAAAGGTGTCGTCTTTTCTTGTACCCGTCGTTGTTCCTGAGGGTTTAGGCCTAGAGATTTAGAGTCTCGAGTTCAGTTCCTTCGTGTGGTTCGTCTTCTAATCCTAGGGGGCTGGGTTTTGATTGTTTATGTACGATCGACTCGAGAAAACGATCTCTCTGATTAGTGGGTTTCGTTGTCTTATGCGTATATGCACTAGGCCAGACAAGCTTTGATCTTGATTTCTTAATCCACTATGGCCTTTATATTATGATCCACCATTGAAGCGTTATTAGCTGTTTCCCTCTGTACAGACGGTATTGGTCAGCTGCTTCTGAAAGGTACTGACTCGTGGCTCTGCCCTAAATTAGATCTTTAAAATGGCTCCAAAGGCATTAGACTACGAGTCTCTGAATGAAGACGTGAAGAAGTGTCAGTACGCCGTCAGAGGAGAGTTGTATCTCCGAGCTTCTGAGCTTCAGAAAGAAGGAAAAAAGGTAACATTTGATATGCATTGCAGTTGGACAATGCACAAATGATCCTTTACTTGTGTTTTGTTTGATTAGCATTTGCAATTGTCTACGGTATCTTGAGTTATCCTAACTTGTCTGATTCGAAAACCAGATTATTTTCATGAATGTCGGGAACCCTCATGCCTTGGGACAGAAGCCACTGACTTTTCCTCGCCAAGTATAAATTCCAATTCTCTTACTTCCCGGTGATCATATGCTTCTGCAGTTCTCATACTTTCTGATATTATATCTTGTTCAATCTAAAAGCTAATTTGTGAACTCTGTTTTAGGTGGTTGCACTCTGCCAAGCACCATTTCTTCTAGATGATCCAAGTGTGGGAATGTTATTTCTGGCTGATGCTATCGCAAGAGCTAAGCATTACCTTTCCCTCACTTCAGGCGGTCTCGGTATATTATCCTTAGGAGACATTATATAAATTCCATTTTTTTATATCCTTAGTGTGAGAACTGGAAAGCAACTGCATTTTCTGTTTCATCAGGTGCTTACAGTGACTCAAGAGGCATTCCAGGTATTAGGAAAGAGGTTGCTGAGTTCATCGAAAGACGCGATGGTTATCCAAGGTGATTGCTTCATACCCTTTATCTGCAAAGAATCATATTTGTTGAAAACTAAGTGAGAGGCCTCCTGATTCTTATTTCCAATTCACAGTGACCCAGAACTCATATTTCTTACTGATGGAGCTAGCAAAGGTGTGATGCAAATCTTGAATTGTATTATACGTGGTGAGGGAGATGGGGTAAGGTACCTTTACTCCTGTGAATTTGATTTTGGTCTCAGATGTTCCTTCAGTAACTAATAAGATTTTCCATTGGTTCTATATCATAAGACTGGTCGATAACTTTCAAGTTATGATCTCCTTACAAGTGAGTTCTATACAACGGCTTGCTTCAACTGATGTGAATCTAGTTAAATGGGGTTTATTTCAATTTATTATCGGAGCCAATCCCAGGTGAAGATCTTGTGGAAGAGCAGTTGTTTTAGCTAGAGTGGACACTGTAGAAAGAGGTGTCGTAGCCATTATGGCCTCTTATGATTCATTATCAACCATATGTAGGATCATTTTATAGCTATAAATCCTTAGATTTGTGCAACTAAATACGGTCCAGCATGGTCTGGATTCATGTTAGCATCTCGGTTTCGTATTTTCAGGTTCTGGTTACAGTCCCTCAGTAACCACTCTATTCAGCTACCATATCACTGCTTGGTGGGTCTCTTGTTCCATATTATCTCGAGGAGACTGAAAACTGGGGACTCGATGTTAATAACCTTCGACAATCTGTTGCCCAGGCTCGCTCTAAAGGAATAACTGTGAATACCCTTTCTTTCTTCCTCTTGCATTATGTGAAGAAGCTAATGGAGAAACATATATCTGATGTCTTGCCTGCTCCAATCATGATTTTGCTGTTCCATATTGTATCTGATATGCGATTTACTGATTCAATAATTGATACATATATCAAGTCTTTACCGTTGCATTTCATTTCCTGTACGTTTTGCAACACTAAAAGTTAGTTAATCTAAATTCTTGTTACGTTGAAACTGAAATTGAAAACTTTACTAATTACATATACGAATTCAGATGGAAAATTAAATTTCTTTTACATGGGTATACAGGTAAGAGCAATGGTGATCATTAATCCCGGAAACCCGACAGGCCAGTGCCTGAGTGAAGGCAGCTTAAGAGAGATACTGCGTTTCTGTTATGAAGAGAAGTTGGTTCTTATGGGAGACGAGGTTTACCAGCAGAACGTATACCAGGATGAGCGTCCCTCAGTTCCAAGAAGGTGAATCTTCTCTTCAGGCTCTCTTATTTACTGAGAAAGAAGTGTTGTTTCCCACTCGACTTCATTGTCAACCTTGTGATATGTTTCCGAAAATCCATCCGATTGATCTTTTTTTTTTTTAAAATCTCGTATGTTTTGAAATAGGTGTTGATGGATATGGGACCGCCAGTTAGTAAGGACGTTCAGCTCATATCTTTCCATACAGTCTCGAAGGGATAGGTGGATACTTTGAGATGACTAACATTCCTCCCCGGGTTTGTCGCCGTTGTCTCTCGACCTTTTTTTTTGTGATTTCTTTGTTCATTAATCGACAGATGGATAGAATCTACATGTAAAGAACCACAACCAATAATGGAATATCGTTTCTGATGGATCAGACAGTTGAGGAGATATACAAGGTTGCGTCGATTTCCCTCAGTCCTAACGTCCCGGCTCAGATATTCGTGAGTCAGTCTCTGGTTATTGGGTTTTGCTTTTGTAGAGCCTTTGTTCATGCATTGTGTCAACGGGGCTGATGACTTGTGCAGATGGGTTTGATGGTAACCCCGCCGAAACCCGGAGACATTTCTTACAAGCAGTTCATTCGAGAAAGGTATATATTCGAGCTATAGTCTAATGAAAACTACCCGCATGAATTATTTCTTTTCTCAGATTCCATTTGCGGGTACTGGAGAACGTTTCAGCAAGGGGATTCTTGAATCGTTGAGAAGAAGAGCGACCGACGGATTCAACAGCTGCAAAAACGTGGTCTGTAACTTCACTGAAGGTAAATAAAGTTTAAAAGTCTCTTCGAATGTTATGGCTCTATCGTTTCGGATGGAAATTTTTATGCAGCAAGATGCATCATCCGTCCATCTTCTTTTTATGCAACTGTGATGATTGCAGGTGAATGTACTCGTTCCCTCAAATCCGATTGCCGGAAAGAGCGATTGAAGCAGCCAAACAAGCTGGAAAATTCCCGGACGTTTTCTACTGCCTCAAGCTCTTGGAAGCTACTGGAATATCCACAGTCCCTGGCTCTGGATTCGGACAGAAAGAAGGGTAAAAACCCCGATCTGAAAAACCGTGATTTCGGGCTTCTCGCAACATCGGTAATGATTGTCTTTGTCGCTGTTACGGCGGGCATTTTTCAGGGTGTTCCATCTGAGAACGACGATTCTTCCTCCGGAGGAAGAGATGCCGGCGATCATGGAGAGTTTTAAGAAGCTTAACGATGAGTTCATGTCTCAATACGAAGATAACTATGGATACTCCAGAATGTGAAGAGGGATTCGATTTACTTCTTCTTCCGACATTGTTGTCTGTATCAAAACTCTTGTCTGAAAGTTAAAGCTATGTGCTCTTTGTCCTAAGAATTAAAACAGTGTATCTATCTATGCATGCCCCCCAAAAAAGGAAGCCTGTTTTTTTTATAAAAAAAAACTCATTTAAGTTCCAACTTATTGTCGACTTAAGTTCAGAAGATATTTATTGACCGATTTTAATGGATGTAATGTGTTAAGGCATAATATTAAAAAAAAGCGATATTAATTAGGTTTAAGTATAAATCGATATTAATTAGGTTTAAGTATAAAAAAAAAGGAAGAGAAAAGATATGACACAAAGTATTTTATGCTAATGCGTGTTAGTGTGTGTGTGTGTGGCTTCCGCTGCTTCTAGATGCAAACTATATATACACGAATAATCTCTTTCTTTGTGGGTTTCATTAGAAAAGCACTCTCCTCAGACTCTCCCTTGTTTAAGCAAATGACCTCAATTGCAATCATAATAACGACGTGCCATTATTCGATACACTATTGGTGCCAATCTATTTTCATGATATAATGTATATTATGCGAAATAAATATATGGTTTTCATTCTTCGAGAGAATAAAAATCACTATGCCGCTCTTAACAGTCGGGATTTTTATGTATATCCTTTCATACCAATGTTTTCTCATCTCATTTTGTGTTTTTTTTTGTGTGTAATGATACGTGACATCGTAGGCATGCAACGTGTACAAACGATGAACTATATGAGTAGCTATTCATTATATAGGACTGCTAGCCTGTCGATACAACTTTTGCGTATACGCACGCGTGAATACACACACACACATGTCTATATATATGACTGCTGGCTTCAGTTGGTATTTCCCACCATTTGTACCGAATATAGAGACTCTCTCTCTCTCTCTCTAAAATGCAAAATCTAGATGATGTCTCAGGACAAGATGACGGCGGAGACATGCCTCCGATCTCCGGTCTCAGAGACTTTTTCCGGCGGTTCGCCGCCGAGTCTAGGAAGCTGTGGTGGCTGGCGGTTCCGGCGATCTCCACGTCCATATGCCAATACTCTCTAGGCGCAGTCACTCAGGTCCTCGCCGGTCACGTCAGCACGCTGGCCCTCGCCGCCGTCTCCGTCGAGAACTCCGTCATCGCCGGCTTCTCCTTGGGCGTCTTGGTACACATACATATACACACACATCAAAGCATGCATGGATGCACTTCTGCATGTCTTGTTTCTTGTATCACTAACACCTATTCATGACCACATGAGATTCCACTGTCCGTTTCTCTCGCGCCGTTTCGTGTTTATACATTTAATATTAATTTCAATTCAGAGCTCTTGTTTGTCGGTGTTTGCTTCTTTTTTTTTTTGGTTCCTTTTTATATGAAGCTATTAAAACTCTGATTTTATCGCCGACATCAAATTTCTAGAATAAAATATGGTATTATTATTCGTATCATTCATTTCTCGCAAGAAGCAACACTCGCTTTCACCATTTCTCGAGAGTTACGTTTTAATTCTCATAGTGCAACACTTTTTTTTGAAAAAAACAACATCTTCTTTAATGAAATCATTGGATGGTATCAAACGAATTTATCATATTATATAGACTTTAATTATTCAGACTCGATTAGAATGTTTACTTAAAGTGTATAGTACTAAATCATTTAATTAAGTGATTTTATTTTTTGTGTGGAGAAGCTTGGGATGGGGAGTGCATTGGAAACTCTGTGCGGGCAGGCGTACGGAGCAGGGCAAGTGGAGATGATGGGAATCTATCTGCAAAGGTCTTGGATAATCCTCTTCACCAGTGCCCTCCTCCTTTCCCTTTATTACGTATTTGCCACTCCCCTCCTGAGGCTCATCGGTCAGACGCCGGCGATTTCCTCCGCCGCCGGTAAGCTGTCGCTGTGGATGATCCCTCAGCTCTTCGCCTACGCCCTCAACTTCCCCACCGCCAAATTCTTGCAGGTCCCCTCTTCTCTCTCTCTCTATATATATATATATTACTTTGAATATGTATATACGTAAATTATAACCAAATGCATGGCGTGGCATGCAGGCGCAGAGCAAGGTGATGGTAATGGCGGTGATTTCGGCGGTGGCTCTGCCACTGCACGGCGTACTGAGCTGGTGGATGATGCTGAAGTTGCGATGGGGGATGGCTGGTGGGGCCGCCGTGCTGAACGTGTCGTGGTGGCTCGTACAGGTGGCTCAGATCGTTTACATAGCCACAGGGGCTTGTGGCCGCGCGTGGTCGGGTTTCTCCCGAAAGGCGTTCAAGAATCTCCGAGGCTTTGCGAGGCTATCGATCGCATCTGCTGTCATGATCTGGTAAGAAAATGGACAAAACATTTTCTGGATTTCGGATTTGGAATCTGACCAGACAGAGTGATGGATGGATGATGTTGCAGTCTGGAAGTGTGGTATTTCATGGCGCTTATACTCTTTGCCGGTTACCTGAAGAATGCTCAAGTCTCTGTCGCCGCTCTTTCTATATGGCGAGTTTTTCCGACAGAACTCCATCTTGTAATAACTAATTACAGATATTACTATACCACACAACTCATGTGTTTATATACGCATATACCAGCATGAACATACTTGGATGGATGGTCATGGTGGCCTTCGGAATCAATGCTGCTGTCAGGTACGCAACCTGATTTATATACATATCGAAAACTCTACGAGAAATGAAATCCACGCAGAAAAGAAATTTTGCTTGAGCAGTGTAAGAGTGTCGAATGAGCTCGGGGCAGGACACCCGAAAAGGGCGAAATTCTCACTGATAGTGGCGACGATAACATCCACGGCCATTGGAACTGCGATCTCAATGACTCTGATTGCGTTACGGGATTGGTACCCCGAGCTGTTCTCGAATGATGAAGAGGTCAGAACCGTCGTGAAACAGCTGACACCATTGCTAGCTCTATGCATCATCATAAACAACATTCAGCCCGTTCTTTCAGGTAACTACCAACAATGATAATAAGTGGACGCGGGCGCAGGTACTCAGAAACCCACGAGGTTTCAGATACTCGGTCGCATAGATATTTAGGACGTGGATATCCGGCATGGAGCCAAATATAGGTGCGATATAACGCTAAAATCAACGCAAGTAAAGGAAATTTCCAATTTTCCACGTATTTGAGTACACATATGGGGCTACGGGTATCCAGATCTTGCTAGACCGAGACCAAAATAATCTCTCCAGAAAACTCGAGATAACCCACCCCTAATAAACACAATTTCCACCATCAAACCAATAGATGTAGTAGCAAGTCTGGTAGAAAGTGGATGGATGATGTAGTGGTTGATATGGTACAAAAGGTGTGGCTGTCGGGGCTGGATGGCAAGGGGTCATAGCCTACGTGAACATTGGGTGTTACTATATCTTCGGCGTGCCCTTAGGACTCGTGCTCGGTTACAAGCTCAAATTCGGGGTGAAGGTATATTTATTCAGATTTATATAGCTTCTCTTCTGGTCTCCTAACTTTCATGCACGACTAAACAATGGTGGAAACATGCCAGGGGATTTGGTGCGGAATGCTGACAGGAACGGTTGTTCAGATCTGTGTTCTGAGCGGGATAATCTACAAGACAAGCTGGAACAAAGAGGTGATAGTTTCTTACCTACTAGGGTTTCAGTTTTTTTACTAACAGGGTGGAAAGGGACTAACAGAAGAAAAGGTTGAGACTTTCAGGCTTCATTGGCTGAGGCTCGAATAAGGAAATGGGGAGGTGAAAAAGATCGCGAGGAAAACGAAGCGGAAATGCAAGAAAAAGTCCCTTGAAACTGCATATGATTGTAGACAGAATAATCATAGAAACTAGTACGAGTATAAACAATAAACAACGGCGTGATTATAATATTCAGATGGTGAAAACAATCATGTGTAAAAGCAGACCGCTGATGGTATAAATCTAGCCATCTCAATTGAATCAACCAAGCTTTATAATACAAAACCCCATTAATGCAAAACCCGCATGTTAAAGGAAAATGAGCTCCAAATGTGAAAAAAATGAAACAGGAATCGATCTAGGGAATTTCACAGGCAATCTTGGCAATATCATCACTACGATGAAGAAAGACGAAAGATATTAAATGCCCGTGAAACCCAAATCAGAGTCAGCGATGGTGTATGCTAAGATTGAATTCAGATTGTGGACGCAGTCAGAAAAGCAGCAAGCACTCACCACATATGCAAAAAGTCTGAATATTGCAACGATAGAAACTAATCATATCAACTCTGAAATCTGAACAATGACATGTATCAGATCCGATAAAGGTTCTACAATCGAGATCTCGATTAAAACGGAACACCAAAACGAGTCCACCAGAAACTTAAAAGGGAAATGGAAGGAGGAAAATTGCCTGACCTAGGCGGTGAGAACGACGGCGCCACCAGCCTCCTTTATCTTCTTCTCGGCGTTTTTAGACACCAACTTCGCCTTCACGACGATAGGCTTGTTCTCCGGCAACACACCTTTCCCCAACACCTTGAAGTATCCAAACTGAGTAACGTCGATCAAGGGAGCGTTGTCCTTGGTGGCCTTGTCCTTCACCTCTTGAGGCACGAGCGACCATAGCTTGTCCAGATTCACGATGGGGCAATGGAACTTGTTCCTCAACTTGTGAAAGTACCTCATCCCAACCTTCCCGAAGTAACCGGGATGGTACTTGTCGAAGAGGATACGGTGATGGTGCATGCCTCCAGCATTTCCACGACCTCCGGGATGCTTCCGGTGCTTCCCGATACGACCGTGACCGGCGGAGACGTGACCACGCTTCTTCCTGTTCTTCTTGAACCTTGTCGTCATCCTCTCCAATCTACAGGTCTTCCTCTCCCCGTGCGGCTAGGGTTTTTTGGAGCGCCCGAGATTTATAAAGAAAAGGCGATGGCCCCGTCTTACCCTCTAGGGTTCGTATTTACGGGTTTCTGAACTATGGGTTCTCTATGAATTGGGCCTGAGAGTCTGTGGCCCAAAATGTGCAAGATGTCAATAGAATTTCAAGAAACGACAGGTAGTGCGGCTCTGGATTAACGAAATGGAGCGCACTACCATTAGCCGACAGACCACAACGTTGCTCCGTATAAAGGACAAGAATGTGAACTACGTGACGTTCTCTGCCCTTTTAAACGGCACGAAGACTAAAGCATGTTGAACAGACGACCTGCAGTTCTCTAGATCATTCGGCTCTGAAGCTTGCCTTGTTCCTCCCCTTTGTCAGACACGGGGGTTCCTCTCTCGCGCACCGATGGACGCTTACCAGCCGCCGCCGCACATGAGACCTCCGGCGAGGCCTGCACCGGCGGATCCCTATCATCAGTACTACCAGAACCCGGCTAGACCTCCGGCGCCTCCTCCTCCGCAGCCGCAGGGCCCTTCTGCATGGTACCCTAACAATCAATACCATTACCCTCACTCCCCGTCTCCGCCTCCTCCTCCTCCGCCGCAGTGGGGCCCTCCTCCGCCGGAACATCTTCCTCCTCAACCCCATTCTTCCCCCGCGTATCCTCCACCTCCTCCTTTTCCTCTGCACCCTCACCAGCCGCCGTTCAGCGCCGGCGCCAACAACAGCGGTCAGTTTCCGTTTCCTCCCAGACCGCCGTTGCCTCCGCCATACCCTCAGGTTTGATGAGCACCGGATTTCCCCCTTACTAGATTTCTCCTTAGTTTTGATCTTACTTTTTCCATGGATATGTAGGAATGGAGCAATCAGAATTGGGGATATCACCAAGGTCACATCTCTCAAGGTTCGCTTGATCATCGCCATTGATTTTATCGATTGTATTCCGTGAATTCTAGGGTTTGGGTTCTGATTTTCTTATTGATGGCAGCTAATAGCAACGCTGAAGACTGGGCAGTCAAAGCCAGAGAATGGGCTGCTGCAAAAGCTGTTGCAGAGGATCAACATTCGCAATCTGCAGCGTATCCACCAAGCGGAGCAGGTGAACAAATTCACCAACAATATCAAGATGTTCATCAGCACTCGGTTCCAGGATTAAGCTATCATCAGTTTCCGGTTCCGCCTCCAGCAACACCAACCGGATACCCAAATTATCCAGCAGTAGATGGAAGTCTGCCTGGAGCTTCATCTGCTGGATATTCTCATCAAGAGAACTTACCCACCAGTTCTGCAATTCATCAGCAGGAGGTACCTTCTAGTTATTCTTCTGTAGCAGGTAACCATTTACTTAGAACATCACTCTAGCTCGTGATCGAGAACTGTCTCTGTGGGTTTACCGTTTACTGATCCCTTGTACGTTGAAGTTTTGCCTATCTTTTCCCAGTTCTCTTGTCCATGTTTAATCATCTACCCTGTGCAGTGTGGTGTAGGGATTTAGGTATCTGTAATATATGGATATTTGCTTGCCAGAACTGTTACTGATTGTTCTCTTTTGCATTTTCTTTTTGTGTCCTGAATGGGCGTCAACTCTGTTTCCCATTTTCGTTGGTGTAGAAATTGTTAATATTCCGAACAATACGGAGACATCAAGCTGAACTTGTTACTCTTTTTTTGCAGGTAAAGAAGAATCTAGCAATACGACACAAAGTGAGGCACAGATATTGGTGCTTCCTGCTGGTGGACCAATTTCGGCAGAGCAGTCTTATGTATATGGAGATCAATCGTCTGCACCACCTAGTAGTCTTAGTGACCAGCCCTTACAGTTTACTAGTAGGGCTAGTTCTGAAAATGTTAGTCTTCATAATGCCTGGCCTCCCCCTAGCGCAACGGGCATGGTGTATCCCCCGATTCCTTCATCCTTGCCCTCAGCAGCACAGGTACTCCTTCCGTTGTGTGTTTATATTATCATTTTTTTTTGTGCTTGCGGGATCTGGATTTGCTGATATCTGTTTGCTTTTCAGCACAACCCATCTATGGTTATGCCGCATGTTTCGGGTCATGCCATGCCTCCATTTGGGGGATTCCCTCCTCCAAATCTCCAGTCCACAGTTCAGTCTGTAGGACCACCTTATGCTTTTGGCGCAAAGCCACCACTTCATCCTGTTACAGCATTCATGGATGACACATATTCAGCAACTGCTGTGCCTGAACGCCCAAAAAAGGTAAAAACAAACTATTTCAGGTTAAGGTCACAGTACCTTCCATGAACTCTGGCTGATGAGAAGTTTTCCAGGCACCTGTACCTGTCTGGCTTAAGGAGGAAATATTGAAGAACAAAGCTGCTCTTGGAAAATCTTCTTCAGGAAATACCGTGGGAAGAGAGTCTATAGATGATGACTCCCTTGACAATACTCTTGGGAAACCTGATCGGCCTGATGCTAAAAGCTTCAGTTCTTCTAAATTCACCGACGAAGAGGAAGAAGAAGAGGACGATGAGGTTCTTTGAACTTTTGCAACGTTCTTATTCACTTTTTACCTAATGAGGGTTTAAGTTGAATTAGCACTTTGTTTTGTCATGGTTGATATCTGTGTATCACTAGTTTTTGTTTGTTAAATTGCACGGTTTTGCTGTATGCAGGACGATGTGGAAGCAGCTAGAACCGCAGCTATTAACCAGGAGATAAAACGTATCTTGACTGAAGTTCTTCTTAAGGTAGGTGGTAGGTTTGAATTGGGATAGTTGGTTTATGCTGTGTATCTGCAGCTATTGACGTTTGTGCCTTGAACAGGTAACAGACGAACTATTTGATGAAATTGCAACAAAAGTTATTAGTGCGGATGATATGAGAACAGAAGGTAATTTTCTCTTCTTATGACTCTGGTACTACTTCTTAATGCTCTTATTATTTGGGGGTTGTGCGATATTCTACACATTGATTCAGATGGCAATGTCAGGCATAATCATAAATCTTCATCATCATCTCTTTCTGTGGCAGATGATGAGCAGATGCACCAGGCTTCAGCAAAGATTCTAGTTCCGCCTAAAGTTAAGGAATCTGAGATGGAAGGTACAAGTAGAAAAGCTGGCTCTGGCTCCCAGGGAGGTGTGCTAGGTCTTGTGAGCTATGCCTCTGATGATGACGACAACGAAGATGGTTATGCCGATACCAATGGACGTCCTGATGCTGTTGCCGTTGATGGAGATCAAAATCCTCTCATGGACTCGAGTAATGGTGTTCTTCGGCAGCCCAACACTAAGAAACTTCTTGAACATGATGTGGTATCCAATGCAGGATCAGAGTTAGAAACTGAAGCCAGTGAGATCTTCCCCAAGAACCATAAGTCAAGCGTTGATGAATATTTGGAGAAATGTGGATCCAAGAGAAGTAATGACAAAGCTGATGTTGATGCTAGTAAAGTGCGTGATAGAAGCAGAGAAGAACACCCTGAAGGTAGTGACATACATAAAGATGCAGCAAGAAAAGATCCTCCCACAAAAAATGCTGGTGCAAAATCAGATAGTTCCAGCAAAGATTTGCATGAAGAGGTGAGTGGGGATACAAGTAGAGCAGATGATAAGGACGCCCGAAAAGACAAGGCAGATCATCGGAATGGCTCAAGAGATAGAACTAGGCAGAACGATGTAAAGCCTGCAGAGAAGGACAAGGGATCTGAATCAAATAAAAAGTCCAATGCCCATGATGCTAAGAAGGATTGGAGAGAAGGGGAGAGACCTAAAAGGACAAGTTCCAAGGAAGATGGAGATAGAAAAAGGGAGAGAGAAAAGGAAGAAGAACGATCGAGACATAGGCATGTTAGGGAGATGACGAGCAAGGATAAGAGAAGACGTTCTTCTCCAACCAGCGATGAATCATCTGATGATGATTCACGAAGGTGCCTTAGCTGCTTCCTATGATTAGCCCTCATGATTTTGCTTATCTATTGCTGATGCCATTACTCATCCTGAATTTTGTTTTTCTTGTTTCAGAAAGTCCCATTCGAGGAGAAGAAATTCATCACCATCTCCTGTAAGGTCCAGAAGAAGGTTAGCCTTTTCTGAACTTAAAAATCTGACTGCTTAAACCTTAAATTAGCCCATACACACGCTTGATGACTTGGTGATATGCTTGTTAGTAAAAAAAAAATAGCTCTTTTACTTTTGCCTGCCACTACTGTGGTGGTGTTGAGAGATCATGCATATGCAATAGCATATGGTTTCACTTTGATGTTGTCAATGTCAAAGCGTCAAAAAGAGAAGATGGGGGCTTTTACCATACATAGAATGACATGAATGGATATGACAAAAGGTATTACGTATGTTTGGATGTGTATGTATAGACATGTTATGGGGTCACCACCACATAGCAAGCATTCTCAACGTGGGCATTCTCCTTACTCTTCTCTCGACACATCCAGGTACATACCATATGCCCCGAGACACACACCCTGTTACTGATGTCCCCTTTTCTTAGTTAAGTGGAAGCTCTGAGTGTTTTTCTTAAATGCCATCGAACCAGCCTGATAGTGTGCTTTTTTTTTCATTATTAAAAAAAAACAGGGGAAGAGAATCAAGATCGAAGTCACCACACAGCCGGAAGAGGGGTGTGATGAAAGGGAAAGGGGCACTGTGAACTGTGAAGTGTT